AAATTGGGCTTACTCCATTTCCAAAACATAAACTTTGGCTTTTTATACCCTAAGTAGTGTGCTATTTTAAACATGTGGAGGAAATGCATTTTCAGTTACAAACACTTGCTCCTCCAAATCTGTTCTTATTTCTGAATCTGTGCTTATCTTAGCAAAAGATGTGGGACAGGATGTTTTATTCTCCTGCTCTGGTTTTCCTGTATTGCTTAAATCTGTTTAGAGAAAAGGAAAATAAACAAATAAAGTGCTTCTACTGGAGAATTTCTATAAACTGAAGTAGCTCACAAAATGAAAAAAAGGCTGTGGGAAAACATTTTTACTGCATTAAGATAATTTTAATATGTTAGATTTTTCCAGTAAATTCTTCCCTTGAAAAGACTTTCTATACCCTGCATGTGGAATCTGCAGCAGATACTAACATTTGCACTGATAAAATGTGCCCACTCAGCCAACTTGGATCAGCTGAATTCCTTTTGGCCCTGTCTTTTCCCAAGCACAACTATAATTATAAACTTTTTTGAGATTCATTTCAGAAAAATGAGCATACCAACCTGGAAGGACACTGTAGATTTATTAAGAAATTCAAGTTACACTGTATCATAATTAAATGTGTACCTTTTCATATACAAGCCTAGGGACTTTTTACTCAAACACTTGGCAGACATATCCTTGTAATCTGGTTATATTCCATTATAGCTTTCAAAAAACTGATTTTGGTCACTTTATCCCCTTTATAAGGAAGTCAGCAGTTCACTAATCTACTGAAAAATATTTCACTTTAAGAGCTCCTGGGAACAGCTTCTGGTTGGCCCCTCCCTCTACATCCTTCTCCATGTTGGTCTCTGCTCCAGGAGCTGCCCTGTATACACAGCCTGATGAAGACTCTCCTTAAAATAAACTTTAGTCAGACTCCTCTGAGCCCTCTTCTCAACTGCTAGGCCTGCGTAGCCCTATTTTAGCAAGAATCCTGCTAAGTCAGTTTAGAGAGAACCCCCTACCCTTGATGTCTGAACCCCCTAGCCTCCCTTTAGCGAGAATGAGAATCCTAGTTAGTTGGTTTAGCAAGAATCCCCCTACCTTTCATGTCTCCTCTTAGTAATTTTCCATCCACTGACACCCCACCCCCACTCTGCTATAAATCTGCAGCTGTCTTTGCTGTATTTGGAGTTGAGCTCCTTCTTTCTCCCCTACAGAGAATCTTGACGCCTATCACAATAGCCTTGAATAAAGTCTTCCTCACTGTTTTAAAAACCATCAGAATAATTTTTTCTTTAATAAGCCCCAGTAGGCAATGGAGTGCCCTGACAAGAGATTGGAGGGAGGGAGAAAAGGGGAATCTGGTTATTTATTCCCATGGCTTCCCCCTGGGGAGTGGGTCAATCGCTCAACTGAAGGTCTCAGCTCCTGTCAGGAGGTCCATTTCACACAACCCTCTGTTGTCCACTGCCACCAATTGCCCCCTCTTACCCCTGCAGACCTAGGAGTGGTAATGGAGTTCTCATTATTACTAGCCCCAGGGACGTTACACTATTCCCATCCCTGTGGTTTTCCATCACTTTGTGAGTTATTAAATTCTCCTCAAAGTATCCTAATTTGAGGATGCCATCTGTTTCCTGCTGGGTATCCCTAATACAGATATCATCTCAGCAGATTTCTTATTCTAGAAAGGCTATAAGCTCTAAGAAAGAAGGGCATGGATATAGCAAGCAGAGAGATTTCCATGAGTGACTTGGTGTTTTAAATGAGCTTTGTTAAGCTGCCAGTTCTCCCCCTTCTAATTACTTTTATGATTCAGTAACAGAGAGTATTTTCTGAAACATACAGTTTCTAAACATCAATAGGGATTATTATTAATTTTTTTTTTTTGAGACAGTCTCGCTTTGTTGCCCAGGCTAGAGTGAGTGCCGCGGTGTCAGCCTAGCTCACAGCACCTCAAACCTCCTGGACTCAAGCAATCCTTCTGCCTCAGCCTCCCGAGTAGCTGAGACTACAGGCATGCACCACCATGCCCAGCTACTTTTTTCTATATATATTAGTTTGGCCAATTAATTTCTATTTATAGTAGAGACGGGGTCTTGCTCTTGCTCAGGCTGGTTTCAAACTCCTGACCTTGAGGGATCCTCCCACTTTGGCTTCCCAGAGTGCTAGGATTATAGGCGTGAGCCACCGCACCCGGCCTAATAGGGATTATTTTAAGAAATATCCAAGGAAGGTGGAAGTAAATGTCCTAGTGGAAATTAACCATGCTAGAAACCTAAGGTAGAAGAGCTTCTTTGCCTTTATTTCCACGGTATTTATATTCAGAATAACTTCCACAGTAATACTATTTTGTTTTTTTTTGAGGCAGAGTCTCACTCTGTTGCCCAGGCCAAGTGCCGTGGCATCAGCCTACCTCACAGCAACCTCAAACTCCTGGGCTCAGGTGATCCTCCTGCCTCAGTCTCCCAAGTAGCCAGGACTACAGGCATGTGCCACCATGCCCGGATAATTTTTCCTATATATCAACTCAATTTTTAAGTTGTCCAGCTAATTTCTATTTTTTTCAGTAGAGACAGGGTCACGTTCTTGCTCAGGCTGGTCTTGAAATCCTGAACTCAAACAATCCTCTCACCTCGGCCTCCCAGAGTGCTAGGATTACAGGCGTGAGACAGTGCACAGCCCACAGTAATACTTTTAATAAATGCAAGAAACACTGTTTAATAATACCACATACAAACATGGCAATTCACGTAATAGCCTGCTGAAGGCTAATTCCATACAGCCTAGAATAGTCTACAGCAGTATTGGTCAAATTCAAGTTGTAGTAGATCGTGAAATCAATTCAGTGGGTCATAACGTTTTGTAAAATCATACAAGCTATATACAATAATGTAAAATAGAAAACCACAGTATGTATGTATAACCCTCACTAGAAATACAGTTTATTTTGTCACCCAGGATATCAATAAGTAAAATAAAAATTTTATGAAACAGGCCAGCATGGTGGCTCCACGCCTATAATCCTAACACTTTGGGAGGCTGGGTGGGAGGATTGCTTGAGGCCAGGAATTTGAAACAGCCTGAGCAACATAGTGAGACTTCATCTCTACAAAAAATTAAAAAATTAGCCAGGTGTGGTGGCATGTGCCTGTAGTTCTAGCTACCTGGGAGGCTGAGGCAAGAGGATTGTTTGAGTCCAGGAGTTCGAGGCTGCAGTGAGCTGTAATTACACCACTGTATTCCAGCCCTGAGTAACAGAGCAAGACCTTATTCTCAAAAATAAGTAAATAAATAAATAAAACCAAACAAAATTTATGAAAGAATATTTACTCTTACTACATAGAATGTATTGTGATGTTTTCTTTTAACTGATGATTGCAAACCACAGCTTGAAAAGTGCTGGTCTAGAGTATTAACAGAGCCAAGTCTGGAGAACTCTGTTCATATTACCACAAAGCTCTGCTCCTCCTCCATCTGCTTTTATGTCATTTCCATAGTGGTGGCAAGAAGTCAAATCCTTTTCCTTTTTAGGTTTCTGTGTAACTACTACATGACTTCTGCCACCTGCTAGCTTCACTGGAAGAGAAATACCCTCAATCTGAAGAAGATAAAGATATAGTAGATGCAAATGTAGCCCTGTCCACATCTCCTGGCATTCACTGCCATGACACATGCTAAGAGGAACACCTCACTGCAAGCACCTGCAGCTCATAGTCTGAGGATAGAGGGCAGGGAATGTGTGGAAGCCAATGTCAGACGAGTGCTGAGTGCTGAGTGCTGGAGGATAAACATCCCAACCTCGTCACCCCTTGCTGTGCTCTTCCCAGTCTCCCTGAGTTCCCTAGCAGGACTGAGTGCCAGCTATCACTAGCAGTCACCTGCTTAATAATTTACCCTTTATCGGCTTCCTTCCTCCCTTTTGCCTCCCTATTTGGGCTTCCTGGAATCACCTCTCACATAAGTGACTTGCACTAAAACCTTTGTCTGAGGGTCTGCTTCTAGGTAAATGCAACCTAACAGACTACACCAGCGTAACAGTGTTGTTTAGAGCCAGGGCTGTAAAGGTGAGGACACTCACACACTGACAGGAAAATCAAGGCTTTTTAAAAAAATGTAAGTTGGTCCGAGGGTTGTGGGTTATTGTTAAGCTGATTTAACATTGTCTCCCCCCACAACCATGCTTGACTAGCTTAAAAAAAAAATAAATAAAAAAAAAATAAAAAATAAATAAATAAAAATAAAAAAATGTAAAACAAACAAAACTTTACTGTTCATAGCAATGAAATTGCTATGAACAGGGATAATCTCTGACTAAGGGTCAGAAAAGCCAGTTTAGGAGATTTGTTCTAACCCAAACAAAGAACAAGGGGACAATAATACAGAACTTCTCAATCAGTCAGCTGGGTGCTCAGGGCTACCCACAGGATGGAGTCTGTTCACTTCCCTGTGGGCTACAAACTTAGGCTTCTTTCATGTATTGTGATGCTTTACTTCTTACACTTAATAAGAAAGGAATTTTTACTTCTTCCAAAGAGAAAGAATTCTAGTCTTTAGCCGAAAACAACTTAAGTAATGTGAAAAATAGGAAGGGAAAAAAACTATTAAGTGTCTGACAAAAATGTTAAGACAATTATCTGTAAATCACCTTTGACCTCTTTATGTTACTTTGAGGTCATGGGGAATGGGAGTAAGTCCTCAACCCAAATCTTAATTAAAAGTTCTGATGAACTGCTGATATTTTCATTCAAAATTATTATTTTTAAATGTAAAATTTAGAAGTTCAGCTCTGTGGTCAACACTGTCAACCAGGACTTTTTCCAGACAGGAATCAAACGAGAAAACTATGGCTAATTTTCCTTTGCACCTTCCATTTGGTAAACATTTCAGCAAAGTCAGAGCAGCAGCATAATTCCCTGTCTCAGGGAAGGAGTCATGGGAGCTGCAGCTAAAGCAGGTCCATGCACTGAAAATAGCTTTTCCAACGCACCAAGTATACTTAAGACTGAGATTCAAATACTCACCCTGACCCAGCAGGGAGGGATGGCAGAGCTGAAGGGACATTGGCTTGTGGTTTTTCTTTCTCATTTTGTTTGAGGAAGGATTTGGCTTCTTTAGATGTAGCATCCACTTCCTTAGTCACCCTGTAACAAGGAAAGAGACAACAAGTTTACAAGAGGGCTAAAGAGGGAGAAACAAACTCTAAGACATTTACCTTTGAAAGGAAAATGTCCTCTGAGCTTTCAATAAATTCTGGCTGCTGTGCTTTTAAGATTAAAGTTTATGACAATAATTTTACATAAAGACATTTTCCCTGACTAAAATGAACAAATGAAACAAAATGTATATAAATTTTATCTCCCTAAAATCCTTCCCATGAGTCAGCATGAAACACAGCCTAGCAGTTACTGCTGAATCTCAGTCCACGGTGGGTTACTGAAGTGAAGGCTGAAAAAGGCCCTCACACTGTACCTCATACATAGATTAGCAATCGGACTTAAAGGCCCATAAAAGTTGAGACGGAGAGATTAAATGTGGGGAGAAAAACACTGGCATTATCTCAAGCAGAAAAGCAACGGTATGAACAACTGAAAAATACTCTGCAGAAGGCTCCTGTTCTATACCTAGAATAACTCAAAGATGAAACAGAATCTCTTAAAACTGGCTAAATTAGCACTAATTTGGGAATGGAAGAAAGCAACATGACCAACAATCCTGTCTAATTTCAAATCTGAAAGAATTACCCTAATTAAAACTGAGTCCTAAAGGATCAAATAAGGGTATTTATGGCCCCTGAAATTTCAGATAAAGAGAGGAGGAGAAATGCCCAATGCCTGCCTAGGCTTGCCAGGTCAACAAAAACATCTGAGGAATGTTTAAATTCTATCAGTAGGAGGATCTAAGGTTATGGTCACTGTATTATGAGTGTTCAAACAGGTCATCCAGAAAAAGATTGGCCAAGAATAATGACAGGTAAATCCTATAAATTCCATCTTTTCTTTTTTTTTTTTTTTGAGGCAGAGTCTCACTCTGTTGCCCAGGCTAGAGTGCTTTGGCTTCAGCCTAGCTCACAGCAACCTCAAACTCCTGGGCTCAAGCAATCCTTCTGCCTCAATCTCCCGAGTAGCTGGGACTACAGTCATGTGCCACTAGGCCTGGCTAATTTTTTCTATATATTTTTAATTGGCCAATTAATTTCTTCCTATTTTTAGTAGAGACGGTTCTCACTTTTGCTCAGGCTGGTTTTGAACTCCTGACCTAGAGTGATCCACCCGGCTCAGCCTCTCAGAGTGCTAAGATTACAGGCATGAGCCACTGCGCCTGGCCTATAAATTCCATCTTTAAGGAATGTAATTCTATCCACCTTCTGGCCCTCCTTCTAGGACAAATATTCTTTGAGTCATCTTAAACTCATCTTGTTTCTCCACTTACCACTGTGTCACGTATACAAGTGGCACAGAATAAGAGTTTGGGAGATTTTGTATTAAGAATCTTTACCGGGAAAGACTGTTAAGTTAATTTTGAAAGGCAGCATTTTAAAATAAACTGTTACTCCCCTGCTCACACTGTGATGGCTCAGTATTCTTCAGAGAACCAAATATAAACTACTGAACCACACAGTCAAGGCCTTCTGAAGTCTGATCCTCTACACCAGGTTCAATGTGTGCCTCTCTACTCTCCCAAATGGACCTCTCAAAAATAAGAGGAAAAAATTAAATGATTAGAATATCATTCAGTAATATTCTCTCTTTCTCTGTTGACCAACAAACAAGGTATTTCCCTACCCCACCGATGCTAAGCTTGGGTATAAGAGTTGCTTCAAAGGCCAATGAGATATTGGCTGACACGAGAGGAAAAGAAACCTTACACATGCTTGTGCTGTTCCACCTCCTCCCTTGAATTGTTCCTTTGAGTCATAAGAAGAATGTGCCTCAGCCAGGCGCAGTGGCTCATGCCTGCAATCCTAGCACTCCGGGAGGCAGAGACGGGCGGATTGCTTGAGGTCAGGAGTATGAAACCAGCCTGAGCAAGAGCGAGACCCCGTCTCTACTATAAATAGAAAGAAATTAATTGGCCAACTAATATATATAAGAAAAAAAATTAGCTGGGCATGGTGGCGCATGCCTGTAGTCCCCGCTACTCAGGAGGCTGAGGCAGCAGGATTGCTTAAGTCCAGGAGTTTGAGGTTGCTGTGAGCTAGGCTGACGCCATGGCACTCACTCTAGCCTGGCACACCAAAGCAAGACTGTGTCTCAAAGAAAGACGACAACAAAAAAAAAGCAACGGAGAGACTGTGCCTGCAGAGAGTTCGCTGGTCCAGGATGCAGCAAGGACCATATGGTGCAGACCAGAGCCTGACATGCTGCTTGGAGCCAAGCCAAGCCTAGATCAGCTGAATCCCAGACACCCAGAGGCACATGGCGAACGAGACGCGAGAGCAGGAGAGTGGAGAGAGTGGGGCGTTAGGTGTGTGGTGAGGTGTGAGGACGGTATGAGGTTTGGAATGGGTGCTACCCACAGCAGTTATGTTAGCACAGCCTTGACTGACACCCACATTGTACATTTCTGAGTAAGAGGGAGAGAGTTGGAGGAAGTGCGTGACGTTAGTGAGCGGTAATGTCAAGAGGCGTAGCGCGCGAGAGATGTAGAGGCAGGCAGAGTGCGGGCGGTGAGTATAGAAGAGCGCGTGTAAGTAGGGGGGGGGGTGAGCGTGAGTGTTCCAAGGGCAAAGTGCCGAAGACGAGAGAGTGTGTCGCCGAGTCGCCCGACAAGGTGTGCGTGTGACGAGGAGAGGTGCGGTGAGGGTAGCGATCGAGTGAAGAGGGGAGAGGAGGTGCGTGGGGTGGCGAGCGCAAGTTCTGCGTGTGAGAGAGCTGGGGGGGGGAGGGTGTGGCGCCCTTTGTGGCTTGCGGCTGCGAAGACTCAGGCCAGAGTCGTGCGAGAAGGTGCGCAGGTGGCAGGGTAGGACTTGTGAGTAGGCTGTAGGAGAGGATGGGGATTGTGAGCTGTGGCACGTGTTCATTCTGCTTGAGAGGAGGTTGACGCGTGGCGGCGGCGGCGGGCGGGGTGCTGCGACGCGCTGGGTAGAGCCTAGCTCTCTAGGGAGGCCGGAGGGCGGGCGGATGGCTCAAGGTCAAGGGAGTTCAAATACGCAGCCTGAGCAAGAGCGAGACCCCGTCTCTACTATAAATAGAAAGAAACTAATTGGCAACTGATTATTATATATATAAAAATTAGCCGGGCATGGCGGCGCATGCCTGTAGTCGCCAGCTACTCGGGAGCTGAGACAGAAGATCGCTTGAGGCGCAGGAGTTTGGTTGCTGTGAGCGTAGGCTGACGCCACGGCACTCACTCTAGCCTGGGCAACAAAGCGAAGACTCTGTCTCAAAACAAAACAAACAAACAAACAAAGAATGTACCTTGGAACTCTAAGTTACCACACAAAAAGTCTGGGCTACTCTGAAGCCACTGCGTGGGAGAGATCAGATAGGAAGACTACACAGAGATAGATGCCTAAGGTGCCTGTTCCAACTCCCAGGTATTTGAGTCTTTCTAGCCCTGGTGTCAGACATGGGAGTAATCGCTCCAGACTTAGCCGATGTCTGACTAGAGCTGTATAAGAGAGCCTGAGCAAGACCTGCCCAGCTGAGCCCAAACACCCCTAGAACTATAAGAAATGATAATAAAACAATTGTTTTTTTAAGCCATTAAATTTTGGGGTCATTTCTTAACACTGTTATATAGATAACCAAAATAAACCCACATCCAAATCTCAGGCTTATGGTGAGTCCCAGGGCACTAGACTAGAAAGAGTTCCTTTAAATCTCCTTGCTCTAGGTAGAATCTGGGGCAGCCCAGAAATGGCTAATGAAGAACAAGTAGACTTATACATAATGGTCTGAACACATGCTTTATTCTCCACTCCTAAAACCCTACCAAGTAGCGGCAAATAAATTAAAAAAGATAAAACTACACAAGGATAATGAGAAGAGGTGTAACAAAAAACAGATGCCAATGCCAATCAAATTTTCGCAAAGTAGAAAGCATATAGACAAGCAGTCATTGGCTCTGGGTTTGGTTTTCCCTGATCTTCCCTGTAGTCACATGGAATGGCCAACAATAATCAAGCCAATCTGTTTTATAGTTCCCTAGAAGGCTCATTAAATTGAGGTACCAGGAACCTTGAAAGGTAGAGCAGTCAGGCTGAAACCAGCTGAAATTTTGCATCAGGAGCAACAAGGCCCCAGATCCCCTTCAGCACCTTAAACCACAGGCTACACTCCCCCCTAACCCAGCAGAACCCATTACTCTTGGGAGAAATGAAAACTACAGAAGTTTCAGACTCACAAAAGGCAGATCTGAAGTCCATTCTGAAAACACAGGAATTAAATGAAAATCCACTTATTCACTCTTCCCTGGCCACAGACCACCTCTAATACACAAGATGGAACACTGACAGGAAAAGTCCTATTTTTTACAATAGTCACTTCAAGTGTTCTCAGAAGAAATTCCATTTTAACATCATTTTCACTTACTCAGAACTTCCTGAAAACTCTTTATTTGGGCAGAAACTTTCCGTGACTGGCCTTTTCCTAAAGGTGATTCATTTAGGAAAGTCTGAGCTAACTGATTCAGCTGGTTCTGTGATACGGAAGGATAAAAAATACTATTTTCCCTCATTCCCCAAGGTTAATAAGCTATACATTTTTCAAGTGGGGAAAAAACCAAAATGGCAAAAATCCAAAATTTAACAACTAAAACATAGAAAAACTAAAAGACTAACTTTGTGCTAACACTACCTTATGCTTATACTTACAAATTCTTCCCAGTTATCACTAGCTTTTTCTCACATTTTTTACAGATGTAGTAATACTCTTAAAACTTGATATAAAGACAAAAAAGAAAAAGCAGAATAATGATATCAAGAGATTAAAAGATATGCTCAAATCTATATAGCTAATTTGTATCTGGTCATCAATGAAAATCAGATCTCCTAAGTTCCCACAAGAGAGTTTCTTATAATACCTAAATTTAAGTATAAATAATCTAAGTTAAAAAAAATCCTGCCAATATGCCAACTATTAAAAATATTTGTTTTCTTTAGGGGGAGGGAGTTACAGAGCACTTTTACTTGTTATGTTACACATGTTACATATTTCTGTAACATAATTTTTAAAAGTAATAAGCATGTATTACTTCTAAATATATTTATATTAAATATTCAATTTTACGTATTATTATATATTTGATTATATAAATGTGAAATATATTTGTAATATGTAATTTATAGAAAAAGTGCTTCCATATTCCATTTCTGTTTTGCTTTTGATACAGATATGGTGCTGCCCTCTTCTGACAAAAAATGAAAACAGCAGACTGCCTGAATACCCATCAAGTACTGTATTTAAAATTACCATCCATTTACTTTAGAAAATGAAATACGAAATGTGTGGCAGACAACTATATTAGTATTTATAAACAAAATTTAATTTGATTGGAAATTTAATGATTTCTCATAGCAAGAGCAATTGACCAGCTTTTCATATTCTCTATGTATGGCCACTGGTCAAGTTATAAATAAATCTTCATTAAATATTCTACATGACAGATGGAAAATTCAAGCCAAGAAAAAGTTCTAAAAAATTTTAAACCTATATTCCTAATGGCACATTAATAATATACTTCCTATATTATTTTTATAGGACTTTTGAGCCATTGAAGGTTTACCATCAGTGTTCTGCTACCCTCTATTGGACAACTCAGCTTCCTGTATGATTTCTGGTAACAAATTATACTAATTCACATTAATTACTTAATAGATCTCCAAAATAATTAATTACCAAAGAAAGGATGCCTTACAATGCAGAATTCTGGAAGATATTGCTTTCAGGGTCTAAATTGTCTAACCTAATCATTGTCTAACCTGATTAATCTGAAGCTAATAAAGAAGAAACAATCCAACGATCCAAACTGAGGAACATTATGCATTACAAATAGCCTGGACTCTTTTTTTTTGAGACAGAGTCTCACTCTATTGCCCTGGCTAGAGTGCCCTGGCATCAGCCTAGATCACAGCAACCTCAAACTCCTGGGCTCAGGCGATCCTCCTGCCTCAGCCTCCCGAGTAACTGGGACTACAGGCATGAGCCACCATGCCCAGCTAATTTCTTTCTATTTTTAGTAGAGACGGGGTCTCGCTCTTGCTCAGGCTCAGGCTCGTCTTGAACTTCTGACCTCCAGCGATCAGCCCACCTCAGCCTCCCAGAGTGCTAGGAATACAGGCCTGAGCCACTGTGCCCGGCCTTGGACTCTTAGAAAATAAAAAGTGGGCCGGTTATGGCGGCTCACACCTGTAATCCTAGCACTCTTGGGAGGCTGAGGCGAGAGGATCGCTCAAGGTCAGGAGTTCGAGACCAACCTGAGCCTGAGCAAGAGCGAGACCCCGTCTCTACTAAAAGTAGAAATAAATTAGCCAGACAACTAAAAATATATAGAAAACATTAACCGGGCATGGTGGCTCATGCCTGTAGTCCCAGCTACTCGGAGGCTGAGGCAGGAGGATCGCCTGAGCCCAGGAGTTTGAGGTTGCTGTGAGCTAGGCTGACGCCACGGCACTCTAGCCAGGGCAACAGGGTGAGACTCTGTTTCAAAAAAAAAAAAAAAAAAAAAAAAAATAATATATATATATATATATATATATATAAACAGTATTTATTCAAAGTGTCTGATGTTTAACATTTGAGATTTGGTATTTTACTTTTAGTTTTTTGTTTTGCTTCGATTATACAATAAAAAGATATAACAATGATTTCCAGTGTCAATCACTTTTACTAGCATTTTCTATGAACCGCTTATATAGTTACGTAATTCTTTCCCTTTTCCTATCTTTGCTTCATTTTATGTCTGTTGAATCTTTTTTTTTTTGGCCAATGCTGTATCACCTGAGGTTATAAGGACCAACAGTAGGGGGCAGGCAGCTCCAGTTACGTGCAAGCACATGCTCTGGCGCTACAGTGAGCAGGGTATCTGTTTAATCTTAAAATCTGGGCTTGAATTTTGTACATCTTTTAAATTTATGTTTCTAGTAATTCCTTGTATTGTTTTACAAAAGTATTGGTCTGCAACAGTCTGAAAATTTTAAATCAGGGTCCTTCACTATAGATAGTAATGTGCTCTAATGTTAAATTTACTGCATATGTGCGTTATCTTGTGTTACGAAGGAGAAAGCCCTTGGTCATAAAAGATGTGCTAAGTATTTAAGAATGAGGTGTCACAATGACTACAAGTATAATAATTATAATAACATAATAATTCTCAAAGGATTTGGCCAGAGGAAAAGAAAAACCAAGATATAGGTGGTGAAAGAGAAACAAAACATTAACCAGTGGTGAACAGAGAAGACAGGCTCATGGGTGTTTGTTGTAACACTATTCTTACAACATTTTTGTAACAATGAAATTTTTCAGGAAAAAAAGGTGAGAAGAATTTTTGGTTTTTTTTGAGAAACAGGGTCTTGCTCTGCTGCCCAGGCTGGAGTGCAGTGGAGTGATTATAGCTCACTGTAGACTCCAACTCCTAGGCTCAAGCAATTCTCCTGCCTCAGCCTCCTGAGTAGCTGCGAATACAGGTGCATGCCACCATACCTGGCTAACTTTTCTTACTTTTTGTAGAGATAGGGTCTCACTATGTTGCCTAGGCTGGTCTTGAACTCTTGGCCTCAAGCAATCCTCCAGCCTCAGCCTCCCAAAGTACTGGCATTACAGGCATACACTACTGTGCCTGGCCAAGTTTTTTTTAAATAATAAAAAGTTTTAGAAACAATGATGAATAGCACCTCTTGTATATTCCTGGATACAGCTGGAACCCATTCTACTAAGTTAAGTATCTCAAGACTGGAAAAACCAGCACCACATGTACTCACCAGCAAATTGGTATTAACGGATAAACATCTAAGTGGACATATAGGAGTAATATTTATCAGGTGTTGGGAGGGTGGGATGGGAGAGGAGGGGATGGGTGTATACAACCACAACGAGTAAGATGTGCAACGTTTGGGGGATGGACACGTTTGAAGCTCTTACTCGAGGAGGGAGGGGGGCACGGGCAATATAAGTAACCTTAAACTTGTACCCCCATAATACACTAAAATAATAATAATAATAAAAAGTTTTGCTCCACACTGATAATTCTTTCTTCCAAAATGTATTTTCACAAGCTGAAATAACTGTAGAAAAGCATATTATTTTTAAGAATAAATATTGTGGTCGGGCGCGGTGGCTCATGCCTGTAATCCTAGCACTCTGGGAGGCCAAGGCGGGTGGATTGCTCGAAGTCGGAGTTCGAAATCAGCCTGAGCAAGAGTGAGACCCCGTCTCTACTGTAACAGAAAGAAGTTAATTGGCCAACTAATATATATAGAAAAGACTAGCCGGGCATGGTGGTGCATGCCCGTAGTCCCAGCTACTTGGGAGGCTGAGGCAGCAGGATTGCTTGAGCTCAGGAGTGTGAGGTTGCTGTGAGCTAGGCTGATGCCATGGCACTCACTCTAGCCTGGGCAACAAAGTGAGACTCTGTCTCAAAAAAAAAAAAAGAATAAATACTGTAGGGGAAATTGTATTTTCAGAGACCCGACAGGTCTAATTAATTATTGTCAAGGAAAACAAATGTGACCACCTATAAAATTACTGATTAGCATTTCATCTATTCTCATTTAGGTCTATATTAGAGACCTGCTATTTCACATAATAAAACTGACATAAATGGGGAAGAGGAAATTCCAGGCATGTGGCTCTTATGCAGAACAGCTAGGAGGTTAAAACGGTCAAGGATAAACTGGCATTAAGCCCTAGTTGTTTTTCTACCAGCGGTCCTCAAACTTTTTAAACGGGGCCAGTTTACTGTCCCTCAGACCACTGGAGGGCTGCTGGAGAGTGCAGCGCACATTCCACTGTGGGCATGCGCACTGTGGGCCTGGGACCAGTCAGCTGCTAAGCAGGACAGGCAGCAGCGGCAAAAACACCTGGCAGGCCAGATAAATGTCCCAGATAAATGTCCTCGGTGAGCCGCATGTGGCCCGCAGGGCTGCAGTTTGAGGACCCTAAACTATAGTAAACAAACCTCATGAATCAATTTTAAAAATATTATTAAGGAAATAATACGGGAACAAAATTTCTCTCCTAGTAATTCCAATTCTTCAATTCTTTCAATCTGATTTCAGAGTCTTCACTGGGGTTCATATTTCATAGTCAAAAAAAGTAATAAAGAGAGAAATGGGCTGGGTGCGGTGGCTCATGCTCGTAATCCTAGCACTTTGGGAGGCTGAGGTGGGAGGATCACTTGAGGCCAGGAGTTTGAGACCAGCCTGAGCAAGGGTGAGACCTTGACTCCACCAAAATAATAGAAAAGTCAGCCACATGTCATGGCAGTTGCCTTCAGTCCCACTACTCAGGAGGCTGAGGCGGGGGAATTGCTTGAACACAGGAGTTTGAGGTTGCAGCAAGCTATGACAACGACACTGCACCACTCTAGCCAGGCAACAGAGCAAGACCCTATCTAAAAAAAAAAAAAAAAACAGGGAGAGAAATGACTTATCCAAAGTCACGAAACAGCCATGAGCAAGTGGAATCAATTACTTAACTCTTATGTGTCCTTGCTTCTGTCCAGCTGACCACTTCATAAAACTCAACAACTACATTATCACATGTGAGAAAACCTTTTTCATGGTCCCTGATCATTTACAGAGTCACAGTTTTGAGTTCAAATATTTCTACAAAAATATTAGCTGGAATGAGGATAGTTAACACCATTTATTAATATAAAGATCTCATTTTTAAAACACTAGTTTTCAAAGTTTGCGAAGGTCATCCCCTTACCTCACTTCTTCACCAGCAAAATCGAATACTTTGGTGATTTTAACTTTTTCTGTTTCCTTGGGTTTTTCTAGCTCTTCTGCTTTGACCAATTTACTTGAACTTGTCTCTTCAGTCTCCTCTCCTGTCTATGAAAAAAAGGAGGAAGTATAATCAGTTTCACCAAAGGATGAAACCTAAACAAACCATCTAAACATACTGTTTATGGCTGTTCTTAAATATTTAATCTCTAGCCAGTTAAAGACCAACTGGAAATTTATTTGATTAGAAAGGCTTATTTTCCTACTATAGGGAATGCTTTGCTTTTCATTTAGTAGAGTTACTATCAAAAGGCATCTAGTCTGATTTCTGCTATAAGCTTCAAATCTGTTTGTAAATTAAAAAAAAAAAAGAGTCTATCTGGAGAACTTAGAGTATTTCTAGAGAGGCATTCATCTCAATCTTTCAACTTACCTTAACTTGTGTAGTTGGGGGCACTTTTGATTTTGGTCCCACGTCATTGAGGAAGCTGGCCCAGAGTTCATCCTCCTTCTTTTTCCTTGCATCTTCTGATCCAATTCCTTTTTCCTGCTCTGTATCTTCATCATCCTCCTCACTGCTACTCCCTTCAGATTGTGCATTGGAATCCTCTTCCTCCTCCTCTTCTATTAATAACAAGAGGCCACCTTGTTTTTTCTTCCTATTCATCAACAGTCATAAGGAAAAGGAAAGACAAGACAGACAATGCAAAAGATTTCAGTGACCGCTTTCTCAACTCCAAATATAATCTTGCAAACCTGAGAAAAACTTTAAATCTGAGACTACTGATTTAACATAATACTGGTGGGAGTAGGAGAGATAAACTGAGATTCTGGAAAAGAAAAAAAGAATTGAACTCTGTCAGCATCTCCAGTCACTTAGAATCAAAATATACTACCCTCCTTCTAAGTCAGGTGCAGCTGTTTTCACTAAGAAAACACCCAAAATCACCTCACAGAATTAATCTGCCCAGAAAAAGTGTTCTAAGAGTATACGACATGGCCAGGTGCAGTGGCTCACGCCTGAAACCCCAGCACTCTGGAGGCCAAGGCAGGAGGATCACTCAAGGTCAGGAGTTCGAAGCCAGCTTGAGCAAGAGTGAGACCTCGTCTCTACTAAATATAGAAAGAAATTAATTGGCCAACTAAAAATATGTAGAAAAAATTAGCTGGGCATGGTGGCACATGTCTGTAGTCCCAGCTACTTGGGAAGCTGAGGCAGGAGGATCGCTTGAGTCCAGGAGTTTGAAGTTGCTGTGAGCTAGGCTGATGTCACGGCACTCTAGCCCAGGCAACAGAGTAAGAATAAAAAAAAACAAAGAATATACGACATATGCCAGATTTTTTTTTATTTTCCCTGTCCTGAAATGATGCAAGCAATGTCAGACATTTCTTGTGCATGTATGAGACAGAGTCTCACTCTGTTGCCCGGGCTAGAGTGCCGTGAATCAGCTAGCTCCAGCAGAACCTCAACTCCTGGGCTTACAGCATACTCTGCCTTAGCCTCCCAGGTAGCTGGGACTACAGGCATGTGCCACCATGCCCGGCTAAAAAAAAAAAAAAATATATAATATATATATATATATATTATTATATACACACACACACATATATATTTTAGTTGTCCAGCTAATTTCTTTCTATTTTTTTAGTAGAGACCAGGTCTCACTCTTGCTCAGGCTGGTCTCGAACACCTGAGCTCAAACAATCCTTCCGCCTCAGCCTTCCAGAGTGTTAGGATTACAGGCGTGAGCCACCACACCCAGCCCAATGTCAGATATTTTTGACTTTTTTTTTTTTTTTTTTTGAGACAGAGTCTCACTCTATTGCCCAGTACTGTGGCATTAGCCTAACTTATAGCAACCTCAAATTGCTGGGGTCAAGTGATCATCCTGCCTCAGCCTCCCAAGTACCTGCAACTACAGGCGTGCACCACCATGCCCAGCTAATTTTTTCTATTTTTAGTAGAGATGGGTCTCACTCTTTTTCAGGCTGGGCTTGAACTCCAGAGCTCAAGCAATCCTCCCACCTCAGCCTCCCAGAGTGATAGGATTACAGGCATGAGCCACCACGCCTGGCCTTTGAGAACAAGTTATACTGAGAAGAGCCTCATATTTATTTGCATATTTCTTCCAAGAATTCTCACGAAAGAAAATACGAATGTTTTGTCCCACTTTCTGAAGAGATAAAAGCTGGAATACAGAAAAACTCAAGGATGTAAGAAGTGAGCCCAAGACTTGTAAGAGTAATTGCTTCTGAGACCAGCAGTCCCCAATCTTTTTGGCACCAGCGACCGATTTCATGGAAGACAATTTTTCCACTGACGGGGGGAGCGCTTTGGGGATGATTCAAGTGCATTACATTTATTGTGCAAATCTCTCTGCTAATGACGATCTGTATTTGCAGCTTACCCAATGCTAGCATCACCACCTCAGCTCTACCTCAGATCATCAGGCATTAGGTTCTCCCAAGGAGTGTGAAGGCTATATCTCTTGCATGCGCAGTTTACAGTAGGGTTTGCACTTCCATGAGAATCTAATTCCACTGACGAACTGAGAGAAGGAGGAGCTTAAGTGGTAATGTGAGCCATGGAGAGCGGCTATAAATACAGATGAAGCTTTGCTGCCTCACCCTTTGCTCACCTCCTGCTGTGGGGCCCAGTTCCTAACAGGCCACCAACCAGTACTGGTCAGTAGCCTTGGGGGTTGGGGACCACAGTCTTAGACTATTTTGACTTCAGGGGAATCATCTAATATCTAAAATTCTTTTTTTCCTTTTCATAATGTGTAATCTGCTTTTTGCTTTAATGCCCAGGAAGACAGAAATACCAACTAAAGTGGAGTGAAAAACTTCTATGAAACCCCTTGTCTGGGTTAAATAACCTGTCAGAATTTTCACAATTTTTGGTGGCAGTATAATTCCATACTAGGCCATGGGAGGCAATTTGCTAATTTCTATTTTTTAAAAACTTAACTGCATATAATCTTACAAACAATTATACTTCTACAAATTTCACTTAATGTATACACGTATACTGGTACATGTATATAGATATAAACAAAGAATATTCACTGCAGTCTTGTTTGTTATGAATGATAAAGACTAGGCACAATCCATGCATCCTTCAATATGGGAATGCTTAAATAAAGGCCTATTCATATAATGTAATACTATGCAGTCACTGAAAAGAATGTACATCTAAATGCACTGCCATGGTACCATCTCTAAGATGTGAAATAATGAAAGTGAGAAATGATATGCAGAGTATCCTATTTGTATTTTTCTTTTTTTTTTTAAAGACGAGGTCTCATTATGTTGCCCACGTTGGCCTTGAACTCCTGGCTCAAGTGATCCTCCTGCCTCAGCCTTCTGAGTAGCTGGGACTATAGGCACAGACTACCGAGCCTGGCTATTTGTATTTTTTCTTTTTAAAGAGGGTAGGAAACATATACATATATGCTTGTATACCCAAAGAGTATCTCCGGTAATGTAGTTTTTCAAAGGCAAAAGCAATAAGGTTTAGAACAGGGCACACTTTTTTTTTTCAGTAATTGATTTTTTTGTATTACCCATGTACACATATTACCTATTAAAACTTATTTTCAATTAAATCTCAGAAATTTTTAATGCTTGCCAGAGATCAAGAATTTAATCTTAAAATATCAACAAATATTTCCCTCAAGGAGAAAAGGATTTAGAAACCCTGGCAATAAGAAATCTACCATCAGATCAATCTTAGCAATCAGGATGGTTGTGACAGCAGCCTCTGACTTCTAAGGGCCCTGAGGGCAGCATCACCTGGCTGGAATGCTCTGAGCCTTTCTCTTTTTCCCTTTGGTTTTCTGTGTCTGCTCTTCACCATCCACTTCATCTTCCTTCACTAATTCATTTACATCATCTTCACTATACTCTCCACCTGAAATCACATAATAGGGTGGTCAGATAGAAATAAAGGCTTCACATCAAGATGACACATTTTCATTAAGAATAAAGGCTTTTACATCAAAAAGAGACATTTTCATTAAGAAAAAAGTCTAGTATGTTTCCCTAGTCTTCACCAAACTAAAACATTTCCTTAGGAAAGCTTCCTTGCCCCTGAAGAGTAGACTACGTTCTATTATCTAGGCTTCCATGGCAGTCTATATCTCCCCTCTGTAACTCGTCCTACTAATATATAATGTTTGCAATTTCTGCTATGATCTATCCTCCATGAGGACATGAACCCTGATTGTCTTGTTTATAAGTATTTGATGAATGAATGAATGGAAATTACAATTCTTTTAATATACTTCTCAAAGAAAAAACTGATGCTCCACCTCATCTTGGGTATCTTTCAAAGCTAATCAAGATACCCTGTATTGTCAACAAAAAAGCTTTAGAAAGAAATCTAAAGATTCTAGTTAAACATAGCAGAAAGAACAAACATGTCTGTGTCCTATCTTCAGACATGCACATTCAAGGGTCCCCCAAAAAGGAGTGTTGCCTGGATGCCCACTCTTATTACAGTCTGGGCACCAGTCAATAAACCGACCCTGCCCACACAGACAGTCAACTATCTTTTTTCTCTTTTACTTCATATATATTTTCATTTGAAATATACATACCAAAAAGCACACACATTTAATGCAGAGCTAAATGAAATGAAATGAAATACAATGAACATGCTTGCATAACCAGGACCCAGACTGAGAAACAGCACATGACCAGTACCCTAGAAAGCCCTTTGTGTTCCCTTCAGTCACTTGTCACTGCCCCACTCCAAAGGGAACCCACCATCCTGGCTTATGACACCACAGTTGAGTTATGTATGTTTCTGAACTTTAAACAAACAGAAGCCTACAGGATGTACTCTTCTGTGTCTGGCTTCTTTCACTCAACACTACGGTGGAGAGAGTCATCCATATTGTTACATGTAGTTCACTCATTCTCCTTCTTAAACAGTATTTAATTGTAGGACTATACCACAATTCCTCCAGAAGTTAGTAGAAAATGTTTTCTAATTTTGGGGGAATACATTCAAAAAGACAACATGAGATCCAAGAAACAGGGAATCCAATACAAAAAAGAGATAAAGGGAAAAATCCAGACTGGTGAGGATGATGGAAGGATCCTAGGTTTAGAACTAGAACAGTCATAGAAGGTAACCAAGCCAAAGTGGAGCAGATCAGAAGGCAAAGATGGACTTTCAGAAGATCAAAGTAAAAACCTAATTCATATAAATATTTTGGGAAGTGATTTAGACACTTCTCAAAATTTATAGTCTTATTAGTAGTAAGTACATAGAAAGCTAAGCAACAACAAAAAATGGCAATTATGAACTCTGGAAAAAAACAAGTAGTGCAGGAAAAGCAATCGCAGTGGTTAAGATGTGAACATGGTGTTCTCACAGTCATTAAAAAAAAGTAAACACTGAATACAGATCTAACTAAAACTGTACATATGTACAATGGCAGACTGAGGTTTGGGGGAGGCCCTGAAGGTGGAAGTGTGCGTGTGTGTGTTAGGAGTGAGGGAGATGAGGTCAAGGGGTATTAAAAAAGAGATCCACTGTGCATAGGTTAAGTCAACAGACAACAGAAATACGATAACAAATTAAAAAACTGGAATGGAACAGGGATGGGGGTGATGTAAACTGCTAGTTTTCCAAACAAGTCTTTTCAAAGTACTTGATTACGTTTAAGTAAGTTCATACAAAACTTTGATTAAAATGAAAACAAGTTTTCAAATGATCACTCTCTAATCCGCAGCGTTAAGACTTAAAAAAAGTTGGTAGAAAGAGAGAGAGGATCAGTGAAACTAGTTAGGAAGCTACGAAGAATCCCAGCAAAGGATAATGGTTGCTGTGAACAAAATGGTAGCAGTTAAGATTGGTGAGCAAGTGGCCAAAAGTAGTTTTTCCACGTAGACACAACAGAAATTATTGAGTGGATGGAAGACAGAGAATGAGGACGACTCCTGGGGGAGGTTGTTTTTCTTGTTTTTTTTTTTTTGCGTAGGGGGGGATAAAAGGGTTCGTTTTTCTCCTGAGCAATTGTATGGATAGAGACACTAAACAAGATAGATACGTCTGGAGAAGGAGCAGGATGGAGAACGGACAGGTCTCGGTGATAAATTTTGGCCCCATTAGGTTTGAGATATCTATGCAAAAAGTTCTGAAAGGAAAGCAACGGGTAGACGTTGCAAAGAGCCTAAATGCATCATTATGCGAATTTTCTAACAATCCTAACTTTCTAACAAAGCAGAAAGTGGACAGAGCTTGGACTTTGTGGTACAGCTAGCAACTCCCTCTGAAAAAAAAAAACCTCGAACGCTTAGACTGCCTTCTGTAAGATTTCGGAAGCAGCAGTGTCGTCCGGGGACGGACCGACACCGTCCCCAGAGACAGGGCCGCGTTCACGTGCCCTGAACGTTCCCGCGCTCCAAGAGGGGGGCGGCGGCCGAAGTCGGCCCACGCGGAGCGGCTGCACGGAACGTTCCCACGCACACGTTTCTGGCCAAGGTGGCCAAGGATGCGAGGCCTGAGGGCCGGGACACGGAGCCGACGCCCGCGGAGGCCAGGCGAGCCTCACGTGAGGCGAGGGGCGGGGCAATCCGCCTATCGCCTCAGGCGGCTTTGCTCACCCGACGGCACGTAGTCCTCGTCCTCCTCTGAGGTGGAGAAGTCTTCAGAGTCGAATTCCTCCATGTCGCTGCCTCTCGGCGCCAGCCAACCCAGCCCGTAGCAGCTGCCCGCAACGGCAAAGGTCTAAGGACACACCATAGAGCAGGGGCGGTGTCGGCACTTAGGGCGGCCCCGACAACGTTGTGCACATGCGCAGAGAGTGCTACGTGGTCGTAATACGACACTTCCGGCTGATGTCTCAGGCCGATTCTCCTGTGGCCGTCTCTGGAGCGCAGACCCGCCCTGAAGCGGTGCATGCTGGAACTTGCAGTCCTCGGCGTTACCTCACCGCTTTGATTTAGAAAATGTGCTTAAATAAAATTACCTATCTGTGGAAATACGTCGGCCTTCATCATCGATGGATTCGTGTTTTCAAATTTTCTTGCTCGCTAAAATTTACTTGTAACCCCAAAATCGATAATCAGAGTACTTTCCGGGGTTACTCCTGGGCATGCGCAGAGGGTGAAAATTTAGAGCTGGCGGAGTCGCCTGTTCCCAGCTGAGGCTGGAATGAGGCAGAAGCTCCGCCTTCTCTTTGCAGCTCTCAGGCTGTAAACAAGAGTCCTTTTCGCAGTCCATTCAGTGACACTTTTCTTTGAATTTTTCTGCTTTTTGTTGGTGATTTTGGTGTTTAAAATGGCCCCCAGGCGTACTGCTGACGTGCTGTCCAGTGTTCCTAAGTGCAAGAAGACTGTGATGTGCCTGATGGAGAAAATAGGTGTGATAGATAAGCTCCGCGCAGGCACGAGTTACAGTGCTGTCGGCCGGGAGCTCAGTGTTGAATCAGTGATCCGGTACATCAAGAAAAAGGAAAAGGAAATTCGCCGATCTGTAAGTGAGGCCGTCCCGGAAAGTGCTAAAGTGACATCGATAGTGCGCGAAGAAGCTATGGAAAAGATGGAAAAGCGACTAAATTTGTGGATTCATGAGATGACCGATAAAAAAAAAAAAACAAACATAGTGGACAGCATTGTCGTGAGACTGAAAGCCAAAGAAATTTATGGTCACGTTACTCAGGGTCAAAGAAACGTTAAGCCCTTCTCTGCGAGTGCTGGCTGGCTTGCACGTTTCAAAAGGCGATACGGGGTGAAAAATGTTAAACTAGCAGGTGAAGCAAGTTCTGCTGATCAGGAGGCTGCGGAAGAATTTTAAAAATGCTTGCTAGGCCGGGCGCGGTGGCTCACGCCTGTAATCCTAGCTCTCTGGGAGGCCGAGGCGGGCGGATTGCTCGAGGTCAGGAGTTCAAAACCAGCCTGAGCAAGAGCAAGACCCTGTCTCTACTATAAATAGAAAGAAATTAATTGGCCAACTGATATATATATTAAAAAAAATTAGCCGGGCATGGTGGCACATGCCTGTAGTCCCAGCTACTCGGGAGGCTGAGGCAGGAGGATCGCTTGAGCCCAGGAGTTGGAGGTTGCTGTGAGCTAGGCTGACGCCAGGGCACTCACTCTAGCCTGGACAACGAAGTGAGACTCTGTCTCAAAAAAAAAAAATGCTTGCTAAGTGTTATACAGGAAAAGGGTTATGTGGGAGAGCAGGTTTTCAATGCTGATGAAACTGGTTTATTTTACAGGGATGTTGGCAAACGAACCTTTATAATGCAAATGGCCTCCAAAGCCCCTGGCTTTAAATCATGCCAAGACCATGCAACCTTGCTATTGTGCACCAATGCCAAGGGAGACTTTAAATGCAATCCCCTAATGGTGTACAGAGCCCAAAATCCACAAGCACTTAAAGGGAAAAACCGGAACCATCTGCCAGTCCACTGGAGGTGGAACAAAAAAGCATGGTTGATGTCTGATTGGTTCCACAACTGCTTCATCCCAGAAGTTGAACACTACCTCCAGGGCAGAAATCTTGCCTTCAGAGGTTTATTAATTTTGGATAATGCTCCAGTTCATTGCCGCGAAGAACTCGAAAATGCACACCCCAACATAGATGTTCTTTTTATGCCCCCAAACACTGCATCTGTCATCCAACCCCTCTATCAGGGCATACTAAAAGCTTTCAAGGCACACTACACGAGGGAGCTTTACACAAAGGCCTGTGAGGCTCTCAAAGCCAACAAGGGAACCACCATGATAGACTATTGGAAGTTGGTCACTATACGCAACGTTATTATGTTGGCACAGCCTGGGACAGTATCAATATAAAATTTACCTATTTAAAGTGCACAAATCCAAGTTTGTGGTATATTCATAGACTTGGGCACACTCATCACCAAATCAACTTTAGAACATTTTCATTGCCCCTTACCCATTAGAAAGTACTCTCCCATTTCTCCCCAGTCACCAGCCTCTCTAGATTTGCCTATTCTGAACACTTATTTCATGTAAATGGAATCAGACAACATGTAGTCTTTTGTGACTGGCCTCTTTCACTTAGAATGACATTTTCAAAGTTCATCTCTCTTTGGTATATCCTAGAAGTGGGATTGCTCAATCATATAGTTACTTTGATTTACCTTTTGAGAAACCACCAAACTGTTTTCCAAGCAGTTGCACCATTTTATGTTCTCACCAGCAGTATATGAGGGTTCCCATTTCTCCACACCCTCGCCAACACCCTTTTTTGATTCTAGCCATGCTTGTGGGTGTGAAGTGGCACCTCATTGTATTTTTGATTCGAACTTCCCGGATGACTGAAGTTAAGCTTCTTTTCATGTCCTAATTGGCCATTATATATGTTCTTTGGAGAAATATCTTTTTGGGCTCTTTGCTCATTTTTAAACTGGGTTGTCTTATTGTTGATTTTTAAGTTCTTTATATATTCTGGTCCCCCATAAAATAAATGGACTTCTAATCTTTGTAAAAAAAAAAAACATTTACTAAAAATATAAAATAGAAAAAATGACTCAAAAATATTTCTTCCTGTTTTGTTTGGTGTCATTGTACTTTCTTGATGGCATTCTTTGAAGCGCAAGGTTTTTACATTTTGATGAAGTCCAATGTTTGTCTCTTGTCCCTTGTGATTTTGGGGTTGTATCTAAGAAATCTTTGCCTAGGCTAAAATCACAAAATTTACTGTTTTCTTCTAAGAGTTTTCCAGTTTTAGTTCTTAAATAGGTTTATAACCTATTCAAGCAGACTTTTCTTACGGTACAGGAATAGAAAAGTAGATGTGAAATTTGGACCCAGTAATTGGAAGTTACTATTCTTGGCCTCATTTTCCTTGGACAGTGTAAATGGATCCTTTTACCCCATCCCTGGGCAAAAAGATTCTTTGCTGTTCTCCAACAGACCCTCCCATCCAGCACCCCACTTCTACTGGCACTGCAAGCTATTGTTCAAGCAAGATTCACAACTATGAAAGTTCTGACCACTTTAAGGGTAACCAGAGTGGAAACTATTTTCCAATAGTTGAGATAAAAAGAAGTGGTGGCTAACAGGCCAAATCCAGCTTAAAATCATGTATTGTTTGACCAAAAAGTGTTTTGCAGGAATTTAAATTAGTTGCCAGTATTTAAAAATGGAGACTTCAAAAAGTAATCTACATTTCCAGCTTCCCTTGAAAAATGAAAATCTAGGCCAGGTGTGGTGGCTCACGCCTGTAATCCTAGCACTCTGGCAGGCTGAGGCGGGTGGATAGCTAGAGGTCACGAGTTCGAAATCAGCCTGAGCAAGAGCAAGACCCCATCTCTACTATAAAATAGAAAGAAATTAATTGGCCAACTAATATATATAGAAAAAATTAGCCAGGCATGGTGGCCCATGCCCGTAGTCCCAGCTACTCGGGAGGCTGAGGCAGTAGGATCACTTGAGCCCAAGAGTTTGAGATTGCTGTGAGCTAGGCTGACGCCACGGTACTCACTCTAGCCTGGGCAACAAAGAGAGACTCTGTCTCAAAAAAAAAAAAAGAAAAGAAAAATGAAAATCTGACATTGGGCTTAGGCCCTTTTGGACAAGGCTCTCTAATTGGCCACAGTACTAACCCCTCCAACATCCTATAAGATTCCTGGCTATTACTCTGTTGTCTTGGCAATAATTTTGGAGGTCCTCCCTGTCAAACTCAGCACTGTTAGCCCCTCATGTTCCATTGTCTCTTTCCATTTTCCAATCCTGGGTTATTACCTTTTTGGAAACTAAAAGTTCCTCCCTGTTGAGTCGCAGATACATATACAGTCTTGGGGGCTTCTGGCTGAACTCTGAGTGTTATCTTTCTGGGGTGCTAGAAACGTCCTGTCTCTTGATCTGAGTAGTAGTCATGTCAGTATACATACATATGTGAAAATTCATCAAGCTATACATTTAAGATTTGTTAACTTTATGTTAAACTTCAATAAAAAAAAATAAGAGAGAAAAAATGGATGAGAAGTCTCCTGCCAAACATTCATTGTTTGTGTCTGCAATGTCTGGAACTGCAGCAGTCATCTTGTGACCAAGAGATAAACTACCCAAATTAGACAATCCAATTTGATGAAAATGGCAGAACAGAAAGAGATTTATGATGTCACTCAGGATATTAAATTAACTAAACTTGAAGCTTCTCTTCATGTGGATTTACTATTGAAATAATGTTTCATATACTATATCAGCATTCAGTCATCCCCACGTAGCTTGATGGCAACATATGGGACACAAAGTGGAGTTAATAAGAGTCATGTTCACATGTAAATAGTTTAATCACATCTTTAAACAAGAATTTTACCATAAATTAGTAAGAAGTTGAACATAAAAGAAATACAGTTAAACATGTATGTTAAATAGTAAATTATTAAAAAAAAACCCCAAAACTGAAGTTAGACAACTTAATTACAAAAGATTAAACTCATTGGCCACTGAAAAATACAATTCCAACTCACAAGATTGAAAGGAATTCTTTATTGATAAACATTAATACTAGAATTAGAAATGTCAGTAGAAAAATAAAATTTAAATAATTTTCTATTGTACAAAGATTTGATCATTTGGACTGTAGCAGTTAGTGAGTAAAATAACCTAATACAAAAAGTTAAGCTGATTTTAGTCACAACCAGCTATACAGAGTGCACAAAAAAGAAACGCAAGTACACAAAACTTTCTGCATGTGGACTGCTGATGGCACCAGGGCTTCACATTCCAGGAAGTGGTTACTTAGGGAAGGTTGGTGTGTACTGCTGTGTAATAAAAACATAATTCAAACCAGAGCAGTCAGAAAGGACATTGGAGTCAAAAGCCAACATACAACCTGAAGAAATAAGGAAGGATTTAAAGGTAGTGTTTGCATAAATTTTTCTCACTAAATATTTTATAAGCAGTAATATTTTGTTGCAAAAAAAGTAAGTTGATAGCATTGAGAGACATCTTTTTCTTGGACTATCCATTACACTTTTATATATGAAGTTAAGTTTTTATAAAATGCTTTGAACCCAAAACCCCATATTAAAGAATCAAGAAATTGTTTCGCCGGCGCGTGGCTTCACGCCTGTAATCTAGCACTCTGGGAGCCGAGGCGGTTCGAGTTGCTTCAACGGCTCAGGAAGTGTCAAAACCAGCCTGAAGCGAGACCCGTCTCTACCATAAAAAATAGAAAGATTAATTGGCCAACTAATATATATAAATATAAAAAAAATCACCGGGCAGGTGCTTCGGCTTGTAGTCCCAGCTACGCGGGAGGCTGAGGCAGCAGGATCGCTTGAGCCCAGGAGTTTGAGGTTGCCTGGTGGAGCTAGGCTGACGCCACAGGCAAATCACCTAGCCTACGGCAAGAAAGCGAGACTCTGTCTCAAAAAAAAAAAAAAAAAAAAAAAAAAAAAAAAAAAAAAAAAAAAATTAGTTTCATGGTAGAGTGTTGCCTCCCCCCCTTGCATTAAAAAAAAAAAAAAAGGAAAAAAAAAACAATAGCTGGGGATGGTGTTGCATATGTCTCTAAGGAAATCAGTTGGCAAAATTTTTCAAAAAACTATATGAGGCTAGGCGCTGTGGCTCACGCCTGTAATCCTAGCTCTTGGGAGGCCGAGGCGGGTGAATTGCTCAAGGTCAGAGTTTCAAAACCAGCCTGACAAGAGCGAGACCCCGTCTCTACTATAAATAGAAAGAAATCAATTGCCAACATGAATATATATATATAAAAAATTAGCCGGCATGTGGCACATGCCTGTAGTTCCCAGCTACTTGGAGGCTGAGGCAAGATTCACTCGACCCAGAAGTTTTGAAGTTGCTGGTGAGCTTTTAGGCTGCACGCACGCGCACTACTCTAGCCTGGACACAAAGCGGACTCTGTTCTCAAAAAAAAAAAAAACTATATGAGGTAAAATAAAATGTTCAACACAATTGCCAATATTCTTCCATCTAATCAACCATCCCTAAATAATTCTATACCATAGACATAAAAAAAAAAAAAGGAAAAAGTAGAATAGACATTCTTTATCATTCAAATAGTTTCTCCCTGAAACTATTTCAAGCTACAGAGCTCCATCTATATAAAGTCTGTATACATTTATTCACAGGAGAATGCATCATCACATATTGGGATGAATGAAACATTCAATAATTTGAAGATGCTCTAAAGAAAAATAACCTAACATTTTAATCATGGATCAATATGTTCAAAATTTACTGTTCACCAAATATTGGTCCACATGTTCAGTTTGTGAAATTATATCCAAAAGAATGTTTTAGTAGGTGAGAACTCTAATAAGAGGCATCCTTCAACAGAAATGATCAAATTTATTTCCTATAATAAAAGATACAACTTTCCCAGATTTCTTAAACTTCAAAATTGTAGCTCCTTGAGCTGAAAACTAGAATCTTTAAAAAGTTGCTTAGAAAATACTGGACCCAGTGGCTGGCGCCTATAGTCCCAGCTACTCACTCAGGAGACTGAGATGGGAGGATCACTTGAGGCCAGTAGTTTCAAGACCAGTTTGGGCAACATAGTGAGACTCTGTGTCAAAAAAAATTTTTTTTAATTTGCTTAGAAGCAAGCTTTGAGCTTCTTTTTGAGGAATTAATAAAAACATATAGCTGCATTCCAACTCTACTTGTAATTTCCCACCCAGCCTGAGTATGTTACTATAATTTTGATAAGTGGCCTAATTAGTCAAAAGAAACTGTCCTATTAATTTCTGCAATCCCTTTGTAATTTTTTTCTAT